TATATATATATCAAGTACACAAATGCTCAAATAGCATTATATCATACAAGGTCATCTGCAGGTTGGCTACATTCTCACTTAAGTATGTTGAAGAATTTTCCCTACCAGGACATGAGACTTTCAGGTTAATAACATAAATTAGCATCAGAAAATAGGATGTCAAGTCATAGGTCACTAGAAATACCTTAGCGAGTGTCAAGTTGAATTAAGAAAAACAAAATGTTAATTACTGGCATCTTTGTCACAATGAGTAGTGGAGTTTAATCCTAATTTATCAAGAATTAAAAATGCGTTTTGCTGCAACTCAACTTTTAAATTATAATTTCAGATTTTCTATAAACAATTGATACTGTTACAGTATATGAATTTATGTTGCTTAATGTTCCTCAAGAGCTCAAGGCACAAAGCCTATCAAGAGGCCACTACAAAAGATAACAAAATAATGGGAAGAACTCCACAGAATAACATTACATGAAATCTACCATACTAAAACATAAAGGTTCTATAAAGCAATCAAGTTTTCATAATCAAATCACAACATCTTACCATGCATACTTCTAAGGCCAGCAGTGCTAGTTTCAACAGACTTGAAAGCTTCCCACTCCAGCTGCTCTGTTGGGATGCCACTTGTAGACTCTTTCTGTAACACATCTCTGCAGCACCCATCATTCCTTGGGACTGATACACCTGTGCCAGCCACTAAGGGAGATGGATGCAGAGCATTTTAGTTTGATTTAGTTCCCCACTCCCAACAAATTCAACAAACTGCAATGAATTTAATTTTTAAGTTTAATTATTGGTATAGTCTGTGCCCAAAAGCCAAAAATTATAGGTCAAGAAATGAGTAATGATATTGGCTATTCTATTAGCAACAACTTACTAATCACATGTGCCTGAAGTCCAGAGAGTCTCTCAAGATGGCAAGCATAAAACCGAACTGCAATGTGAAAACTGATAAAACATGCAAAAGCTAATCAAGAGAAAGTTTACGCAGCTGTGATAATAGCCAGCAAAGTAGGCTTTGAGACACAAAATAGAGATGAAGTCACTAACAGCCCTTTCAATATAACACTTCCATATTTTCAAATTCCTAATAACACAGAATTCATGAGAAAAAGCTAATACCAATAAAAAGTAGAAAAGTTCAGAGTGACAGGTGAAATAGGTGAAAACACACCTATTTCAGCAGTCAAATAAAAAACAGACAAAAATAAAATAAAAATTCAGTAAGGAGACAGAAAGTACAAACAATGACAAGTTTGATTTAAATTACATATAAAAGAGACTACAATCAGTTACTGCATAACAGTTTTTACAGCTATACATACAAGATTTAACGAATTTGACTTTATGTTGGGTCATAAAACAAATCTCAAGCCAGACATACTGGTTCATGTCTATAATCTGAGCACTTGGGAGGCTGAGGCAAGAGAATCACAAGTTCAAGGACACCCTGGACTACATAATGAGACTCTCTCAAAGCAGCTACAACAAAATAAAACAACTACATTTTAACAGTTATCACTGGACTGATATACAAACTGTGTTCTGATTAAGTGGAATTGAACTGAAAATCATGAACAGAAAAATATCTAAAAATCCCCCATATTAAAGAATTTCCAAAATGGTTCATACCAAAAGTGAGACAAAGAAATCACAATGAAAACTGGAAACATTTTGAAATGAACGGTGATGAAAGTATTACATTATAATATCTGTTATACTAAGTGAAGTAACACAATCTCAGAAAAAAAATCGACATATGTTCTCCCTCATATGTGGATCCTAGGATCAGACTCTGATAAATAAGTATGCAAACAGACATAA